CATTCAATTGGCATGGGGGCCAGTTCCTCCCGCGCGCGCGAATTTGAACACAACAGTCTGTAGGCTGTAGTACAGCATCCTGTGCGGTGTAGATCCACACAGTCGCTCTTAACTCTCTGTTAATCAGTGATAGAAAAGTAAATAATTGTTATGATTTTTGTAATTTCCACCTGCTCCAAGTTTAAGTAGGGGCCTCGCTCTTTCCATGTTAGCTGAAGTAAACACATGCATGAGAACACCGGAGTTCATCTAAATTAAATTCCTAAATAAAGATTCTCAAAGATTAAATTCTTAAATAGAGTGAACAATTTTGCTGGGATCCTGTTTTATGTACCTACAGAATGTTTGGATTTTCACTCGCACAGAAATTCTTTGGCTGGGTGACGTGCTGGAAGGTGCTTAGAAGCTGACGTGCTGGAAGATGCTGAAATTGGAGAAATTGGGAATCCGTGGGAAACTTCTACATTGGCTCACTTCATACCTTTATGATAGGCACATGACTGTTAGAATCAAGTCTAGTTGTTCCAAGAGGTACTTCTGTGGTAGCGGTGTTCCTCAGGGCGGAGTGTTGTCCCCGTTGTTGTTTTTAATTTACACTATGGAGTTGCCTAACCTTCTCTCAAAACTTCCTGTGACATTACAATTCAAATGTATGCTGATGATATCAAAATATATGGTGTATTTGATCGATCTAACTATGAAAGTGTTCGTGGTGCATTGATCTTTCTATTCATAGAATGGTTGATTGGGCTGCCCATTGGGACATTCCACTGAACCTGAGTAAGAGTTCGGTTATGCACATTGGTAATCTTGGTCCGGCTGATTACTACATCAACGGCATCAGGCTTACGAGGTGTCAGTCAGCTATGGATTTAGGTGTGCTTTTTGACTCAAAGCTGAACTTCTACTCCCATATAAACCAAACCGTAGAGAAGGCCTTCGTCACTCTATTTGCGCTTTTCCGTAACGTGCAATCTTCGGGATGGGCGGGACCAGTGCCTCGTTCGTCTCATACAGCCCTACGTACTGCCTCGTCTTGAATATTGCTCACAGGTCTGGAGCCCGTATATCAAGAAGTATATCAGAAAAATTGAGAAGGTTCAGCGTGTGTTCACTCGCCTCCTTTGGTACAGAACTACAAGTAACAACCTTCGCAGTAATTTGCCGAGTTATGAAGAGCGTCTGAAGGTGTTTTCGATGAAATCACTACAGTGTAGGCGGGTGATTGCTGATCTAGTGTTTAGCTTTCGGGTCCTCCGTGGGGAATCTAAAATACGTGCTAGTAAGTACTGGCTCTTCAGACCTGTCTGCGTGTAGCGTGGTGGTTTTTAATAATGGGACTATCCACGGCGTCGCGGTCCTAGGTATTGCGCTTTAACTCACAATGTTCTCTTTTATCGCTGTGCCAGATGGCTTAACACACTTCCCCCGGAAGCACTTGGAGCAGTTACTAGTGTTTCGTTTAAAAGAAGAATAAACAAGGTAAATCTTTGTCATGTTCTCAATCTTTCCTCATGACATAATTGTTGCTCTTTCCTTTTCAGTAATGTCCTCCTCTTCCGTGTTCAACTGCCGTGTACACCACTGGTGATTGCGCTCCTCTCTCTTCGTCATATAACGCGCAGCAAAACTTCAAAGTTTAGCTTTTCCTGGATGGTGTGAGGGGGGGGGCCTTGCCTGGTATCTATGTACTTTGGTGACTGATGTTCAGATATCATTGATTTTTTTTTTTTTGTTGGCCTTCCGGCGCACTCACCATGGGACCTGCTTCTATCGGTTTCAGCTTGGTTTTGTCATGAAGTAGGCGTTCAAATCACAGTGATCCTTGTCTAATCGCTCTCTTCGTTAAGACTATGCCTTCTATGAAACTTCGGCTCTGGTTTAGGCTCAAGGTCTAGTAGATCTGTCTTGGGGGGGGGGGGGGGGGGGGGGGGGGGGTGTTGCTTCTGACCACTGTGTCGGTTCCACGTGGGAAGCTGGTATACCCGTGTTTCGAAGTGCCGGCACACCCCTATGACCCCACATGTGGCGCTAAGGGCACTGCGGCCAGCCAGTGCGGACAGTTGCTTCATCGCCGGTTGCTAGTACCTTGTGAGGAAAGCC